TTTCCCCTCACAACTCCCCAAGCCTAAATGAATCAACATTTTGTGTTCAGAATTTTTAACTTGTAGCTTCCATATTTAAAGGAAAACATGGGATATTCTGCTTTTCTGTGTCCTGCTTATTTCGCTTAAAACTGTATCCTCTAGTCGCATCCAATTTGTTGCAGCTGACAGGATTCCATCCTTTTCTGTAGCTGAGTAGTATTCCGTTACATATGCGCACCACGTTTTCTTTATCCACTCACCTGAGGATAGACACCTTTACAGATGCCATGGCTTTAACACTGTGCTGCTGTAAATGTGATGGAACAGACGCCTCTGACATAGTTCATGTCAGCCGTGCACCCTGTAGTGGAACTGCTGGGTCATCAGAGGTGGTAGCTCATTATATTTCTGATTTGCATTTCCCTGGTGGCTGTTGGTGGTAACCATTTTTATTTCATATGTGAAATCTGGGCCAGAGACAGAGAAATAGGGGAACCAAAACCTATCATTCTAAGTTTTGCCAGGTGATGTAATATGTTGGTGAGACTAGTGAATTCTACATCTAAACTTACTTGTCTGTAGAATGAGTCGCTTGGTTAACTGCAGAGTGGTGGGGTAGTGTGGTGGTGGTGGTGGTGTGGCGGTGGAGATGGAGACCATGACAATGAATTAGGTGTGGTCAAGTGGTACAGGAGCACTGTAGGAAGAGAAGGCTAGTCCAGGGGTCTCTTCTGGTGAGAAGCTGCTGTGCCTGTGGCAGAGGGGTACAGTGCAGTCACTGTCCCCCATTACTGGCTGGTTCACTCCCCTTCCTTTCCACGTCACCCCTCCCTTCTGCTCACCCCTTGGCACCGGTAGTTTCAGTCTCCCTAGTGGGAAGTGGTTTGTCCTTGATAGTGGATTTGTCAGGCGTGGACAGGGAAATCCGTGAAGTTGTACTCATGTCTAGTTGTGTTGTTTGGGCCATGCTAAGGATTCTGCTACATACGCATTTTGTGCTTAAGCTAATTGAGTAATCTCTGAGGAGGAAGCTGTCCAACCTTCACAAGCATCATCTTGTCCATCTGGTCACAAAGCTTTCTCAGTAGAGGGTGCCCTTGACCTTCCACACTGGTGTGCAAGTGTCATCACACCATCCATGCCCCTTCTGAAAGTCCCTTCCCTGCACTTGTTTATCAGACCTCCTTGTCTATGTTCTTCCAATCCTGTTGTGTGGTTTGAGCAAGAGAAACTTCCAATGAGGATACAGACTTGAGGGAAAAGAGAGCATTGGGCGAGGGTGGTGTAGGAGTCAGAATCACTTGCCTATGCAACTTACTGCTTCCACAAAGGTTTTCCTGGTCTTGTGTAGCAATTCTGTGGGACGGTGGATGTGCACAGAGCACACCCAGCTCATGAAGGCAGCTTACTTCCTCTGTTCACGCAGTCGCCGAATGTCCCACATTCAGATGTTGAGTACCAGGCCTGGTGGTGAGCACGTGCTGTTTCCTCAAAGGAAAATAATTCTTTGTAGTTCTGACTCTGCTCTGACTTTCCAGGTCCTTTGTGGTGCTTCTCCTGCAGCTTCTGCAGGTCCTGTGGGACATCTCTGCTTGTTATGAACACTTCTAGTCATTGGGTCTTGGTTCACACATAACCCCAGGGACAGGAAAGCTTGTGTCGCTGTGTGGACTGGCTACAGCATCTTGACTTGCTCATCTTGAAGCTTTCCTCAAAACTGGATGCCCTACAGCCAGAGAACTGTGTGTCACCAAAAGATAGGGGAGCCCATTGACTTGAAGCCTGTTTTTCAATGAGTCAAAATGGTGATGATCACAATAATAAAAGCAGCTGCCCTCCATTGTCTAGGACAATTATTCATAAAGACAGTTGGCTAAATACACTTTAGTGGTTGTTACTAGAGGGTGCCAGTGGTGTTTACCCTTGGCATGCTTGGTATGGGAGTTTACTGTTTATACGCACACTTCATTTCTTTAAGATTGCAAAGATAGCTCTCAAGAGAGGGTTGCTGATAAAGGCTGATTTTGAGGCCAGCCTGTTTCCTTTCCTCTCTCTGGATTCCTGATGTGCCATATAATGGTTTTTTGGCCATGCTCTGTCATTGGCATCTTCAAGCCTCATTAGATGGCTGTACTGATGGGGTCCACTAGATCTTGGACTGTGAGCCGCCTCCTTTTATAAGTAGCTTCCCCCAAGTATTTTATTATAGTGGCAAAAAGTTGACCTGTAGAAACAGTAAGAGGTTCTGTTATTTTTAGAATAGTCTCTCTCCTTCCCCACCATTTCCATAAAGTCCTGCTTACTGTGAATTCCTTTATATTTCTCAGAACCATTTTTTTTAAGGTTTGAAAACAAAAATTGCAGTGATGGGAAGAAACATAATGTGTTTATGATAGTGATAAAAAAAAAAAACCCTTGGTAGCTGTCTCCAGCAGGAATGTAGCAGCCAGCAAGACCAGCACAGCCTTCCTCACATTCCCAGGAGGAGGCTCTGATGGTCACTGTGGGTCAGGGCATATGATCTGTGCCCAGTGGTGTAGCCATGTCTGCTCTGGGCCTACACCTATGCATGGACAGGGGAAGTTTTTCAGAGAGGAAACCAGTTCTTGGCAGAACACTCTGGAAAGTGAAGGAGAGAATATCAGTGGGGCATCAGTCCCACCACCATTTGCTCCAAAGGACAGCCACATATCTCTAGACACTTGCGAGTTTTTAAAAAATTTCCTCCTTGGTCAAGTTCTTTCCCCACCTACTAGAAAGTACCCTAGATGAGGGATTTACAATATTTGGATTCCTCTGTAGGAACAGACATTTTTTTTTAGCGTTGTAGCAGTGGCTGAAGAGGGTTGTCCCATCACTATATATTCTTCATTACTGTTGGGACTTTGCATGGGAGCACTTGGTCCTTTTGCTTTTTTTCTCTATAAATTAGGTACGTTAGGATGCACACAGAGAAAACAAATGGAGAAAAAAACGTACTGTGGGTGTATTAAGATCCCCTTCAAGTACTTGTCAGTCATTGGTTCTGCTATCCTAGGTGCCATAATAGAAAATCACTTCCCTACACATTGTTTTCCACGGAGAACTACCTAGCGTGTGTGTTCAGTGTCACAATTTGTTTCTTTTGCAAGGTTTGTGTCCTGCAGATGTGTCTGTGCTTCCTCCTCTTGGGTATTTTAGCTGGGAATAGCGTGGACAGTCCAACCTGTTTTGGCCTGGTGACTGTAAAGTTGTACTCGCTTTCCTTTTTAAATCCTCAGCTGCTGCTTTTGTCTCACTAAAACAGTTTGATCCATTTGGCCATCATATTTGAAAAGCTCCTAGAGTTTGCTGCTCCTCAGTTTGACTTAGAGTAGAATTTCCCATTGGTTGCTTCTTTGAATAGAAAGAGGTACCTGTTAGCAAGGCAGGAGGTTTGTGCAGACAAACTCATTTGTGAGATCTGGGGTAAAACACCATCAAGCTGATGATTTAGTGACAGGCGTCTCAGACTCTGAGCAGCTAATAGGCCAGTGTAAGCCCCAAGAGGGCGATCCAGCTGGAAACATTTCTCCAATTTATGACACCTCAGAGCCTCTTTATTCTCAGGCTGCTTTTGTGAACAGTAACTTGAGAGATGCACTGTTGGGAAGTGGTGATGTAATTAAATGTGGAAGTCCTGTTAGTTTCCTCATCAGTCAGTTCTCTAATAGGTACCCTCTGTTGCCATCTTGGTTGAATACAAGCTCAAGCAATCAAGGGATGGGAGCACCGGGGTGAAGGCTGGTGTCCTGAGCCTGCGGGGTGGCTTGGGGCATCTGCATCCCGTTCCTGGGCTGGTGCTCACTGGCTCCTAAACGAGAGGGTCTGCCCGTGTCTGACTCAGGTGCCGACACTCCTTCAGCTCTGTGTGATGGTGTTTTCTGCAGAACACAGATAAGCTAATTGTGTTTTATAATATCCAAATTCTCTTATTTTGTATCTTGTCGTTTGAGAACGACTTTCTGCCTCCACGAAAGCCCGCTCTCCTCGGAGAGTCCTGATGACTGCTTTTCAGATTCTGGGTGGTCAGAGCTGCCCTTCCACTAACTGAGCCTCTTGGAATCTTATTAGAATTCTCAAACCAAAAGCCAGCGACGTGCAGTTCGAGGAACAACTAGGTCAGCTTCTGAGAAACTGCCAGGTGTGTTAGCACTTTCCAAAGGCTGTAGGAAGGAGAAGCCAGGCTGCATTTTCACTTTGTTCTCTAGTCTGTTCCTTCTTGCTCATCAGGACATTTAAAGATGGATTGGGGAGCACTTCCTCTACTTTTTTGGCCTAAGGATAGTCTTAGTGGACCGGCAGGTGCACTAGTTCTCCCCCAACCCCACTCCCAATGTTCCTTGGGCAAGTTGGCCCAAAGATTTATTTCTGACAGAGTATTAGTAGAGTGAAAAGATTTCTTCATTTAAAAAATTGTAATTCCTGTTGTGATTTTCCGGTTACATCTTGAGATGAGTTTGTGTCATATGGAAATGTCTTTCTATTTTTTTCTGCTGCTGAGACCACAATGAAAATGGATCACATTTATTATAATTTATCGTGCAAAAGAATTTAATAACTTTTAGTTTTAACTTCATCATCATATGATTGAACCTTTCAGGGACAGAGTATATATCAGTCATTTTTAAATTTGTAATTTATTTGTAATTTATTTTGCCTGTAATGTCCAGAGCGGAAGGCTTCAATCCTTAGACACTTAGAATTTTTTAATATCAGCCTTTTGGTGCTTTATGAAGCTTTATGTTTTGGTTCATTTTGCTGGAAAGGATTTTTTTCATAAGAGTTGGGTTGATAAAACTGACAGATGCTCATTTTTTCTTTCTCCCTGCAGCCTTGTGGAAGGGATGTGCAAATATTTGCTGAGTATGGATGCCGAGAAAAGCCCTATCTTGTATAAACATTGTGTTTAACTCGGTTTTAATTGCAGTAGGTGGTTTTTGTCCCTCTAGGCCTTTCTATCTGAGATGTAATCTGTGGTGCCTCCTTTTATTTCCCAGCTCTGGGTTCATCATCGCTGTCCCTGTTTGATACCCGACCATGGGGCGGAAGCTGGACCTGTCCGGTTTGACGGAAGACGAGACGGAGCATGTTCTCCAGGTGGTGCAGAGGGACTTCAATCTGCGCAAGAAAGAGGAAGAACGACTCAGGTGAGCTGCCCCTCAGGCCCAGGAGGGCACAGTGCCTTGGGTCCTGGAAGTACTGCCTGCAGCTGGCCCTGAGGTCACCTAGCAAACACTCGTATTTCTGACAATGCCCTGCCATTTGTCTGCCAGCTGAAGTCCTGGCAGCGTAGCATCAGCTCAGCGTCCTGGCTGTGCACACTCCCGGTTAAGCATTTTGTTGGCGCTCTCTTGGCAGTTCCGAGCTGTGGCATGGGTGGAGTTTGCGGTGAAAGTGGCTGTTGGGAGCTTGTCTCTGATGTGTCCTCTTGACAGGCCGTTTGCTTATTGTTACTGCTTCGTTATTTGGTAGCTGAATTATTTGGTTATTTTGTTAAAAAAAATTACAAAAGGCATGAAGGTTAATAGTTTTTTTGAGAAGTAGACAGATACAGGTATATATCTAGAAGTAGGCATATATATGTGTGTATATAAATGTGTGTATATATATCATCTTCTATTAGAAATCTCAGTTACTATGCTACAAGAAAGGAGATCTGAGAATTGGGAAAACTAAGGTCAGTTTGGGATGTCAGTCACCTGACATAATGCTAGCCTCCTTGCCTTGTAGGAAAAGAAAGGAGGGTATTAGCGTAGCAGTTGAAATGCTGTCTGGGAGATCTGCATCTCATATCCGCGTGTTAGCTCCACTCCGTTTCATCTTCCTGCTTAGCCACACCCCACCCTGGGAGGCAGCAGGTGGTGGCTCCAGTGATTGCATGCCTGCTGCCCACTTGGGAGATCTTGTAGGAACTCGTGGTTCCTGGCTTAGGCCTAGCACCCCACCTCCACAGATGTTGTGGGCAATTGATGTATTAACCAGTGGATGGGAGCTCTCTGCCTCTGCATGGGTCTGCTTTGCCAAGATGTTTGAATAAAATGTGTGTGTAAAAGCAGAAGCAGGCTCCCAGAGAGGTAGCTCTCTGATTCCCCTGCAGCTGGTGTTTGCTCATGGAACGCTGCAGGGAAGCCAAAGGGCAGACGTGAGCTCACGTGTTGGCTCAGGTGTATTGAAACCGGATGCACTTCCCTCTCTCGTAGACCCATCATGCCTTGGGGTTCCATGGATCAGTTCGCAGCACTGTCTTCTCGCCTCCGCACCGAGTCTCCAGCTGTAGTCCTCCCAGTTCCTCTGTTGACCTGAGCGCTGCATTCAGGGCTGGTCCAGAGCCTCTGTGTCACTTGGACATCTCGGGTCACTCTCTCATTGCTTTGAATCCTAGTCATTGAAGCAGCTCCTGCCTTTATGACCATTGCTACCCCTGTGCCACATAACCCACAACGGATGTGGTGAGCAGCCTCCACCACACCTTGACTGGGGGGCACACGTCCCATTCCTGAGATGGCATTTTGGTACCTCCATCTGCCTGCGTTATTTGCCCTCAGGGCTCTCACCACCATCTGTTCGCTGTGAATATATTTTATCTTCCACCTTCTCCTATTGAGCAGGACTGTCCAATAGAAATACAGTACGGACCATACACCTTGAGAGCAGGGAAAAGGGTACACTGTTTCCAGAAATGATTTTTTTTATTGGAAAGAGCAGCAGACACACACAGAGATCTTCCATTGGCAGGTTTAGTGCCAAATGCCTGAAGTAGTTGGGCTGGGCCCGGTTGAAATCTGGATCTGGGAACTTGCGTCCAGGTCTCCCATGTGGATGGCAGGGATCCAAGTCCTTGAGCTGTTCTGTACTGTTTCCTAAGGCATACAATAGCAAGGTGCTACATCAGAAGTGGAGTTCTCCTTTTACGCCATACAATTGCAAAGTTATTGGCCTTGCTTTGCTGTCATTCTAAGAAAGGCACTGGGTGTTTGCTTAGCCTGTCACTTGGAACCCAGTCAGTACAGTAGCTTGCTTGCTGTACAGTAAAGGAGCATGTGGGGATGAGGGCCGCTCCCCACACGTGCACCCCATGCTCAGGGCATGATGTGGTGGCAGACAGATCTGGTCAAAGGTCTGTACGCCGCGGCTGGTTGCCAATCCTTGCAGGTCTTTAAGATCAAAACAATTCCAGGAAAGGCTGGGTCCTTGCTGCACATTAACCCTGCCCTGTCTGCAGCAAGGTTCTCATTGCTGCAAACTCAGCCCTGGTGTTCAGTTCCCCTCTGTTGATGGAGCCTCCCATGGGAGACCTGCTCTTGTCAGGATCTGTTGTCTGCGGGTCCAGGTGAAGAGGCATGGCATTAGCCACTGAGCAGAGCTTCTTGACACTCTGCTTTTGGGGGGTGGTCTCTTTAAGACATTGAGTCTGAGCCATACAAAACAGACTGAGCGTCTAAGCAGGCTTCACGAGGCCAAGAAATTCATTAGTGCAAAACACGGTCTTTTCCACCTCTGTCTGTGGCATTTGTGCATGGCCCAGGAATGAGATTCGTCATCCGTGATGTAGGAAGTTCATCCGTCCCTTCCTTCTCTCTGTGACACGACTCTAGGAAAGCCTTAGGAAGTTGGGGGTGGAAGAACCAGGCATCTTGCCTGATTGAAGTCTGATGACTGGGAGCCTTGTTCAACTGGGGGACAGCAGGAGTGTGGGAGCTTCAGGGGTTGCTGTGGACTCTCAAGAGCTCTGGGCCTGGCACCAGGCACCCGTGGACAGCAGTTGGTGGGGCATGTTTTTTGATCCCACTGCTCCTGGCAGAAGTAGCTGAAGAGGCCCTGACTAGAGAGGCGATGCCATGGACGGCTTCACTGACCATAGCCAGAAGAGCCAAGACCGACGCGACTGTTGCAGCGAGCACTGTGGGAGCAGTTAGGCCTTGTTTCCCATGGGATTCAGACATAGCAGGCCTGGCAGTGCAGAGGTCCCCTGTGAGGTGAGGGTCGTGACCTCGGGTTGTACATTGTCCCCACTCCTGAGGCCCTCGTAGACTGTCTGCTCGGGTGCTGTTACATTCAATTTGATGTTCCCACTCGAAGACCCTACTCCATCCTCTCCATCTGCTTCCTGTACACCTGCAGACAAACTTTTTTATATTAAAAAAATGCATTTGTGGGCCCGATGCGGTGGCCTAACAGCTAAAGTCCTCACCTTGCATTCACCAGGATTCCACATGGGCGCTGGTTCTAATCCCGGCGGCCCTGCTTCGCATCCAGCTCCCTGCTTGTGGTCTGGGAAGCAGCCGAGGACGGCCCAAAGCCTTGCGACCTTGTACCCACATGGGAGACCTGGAAGAAGTTCCTGGCTTTGGATTGGCGTAGCTCCGGCCATGGAGGCCGCTTGAGGAGTGAATCATTGAAAGGAAGATCTTCCTCTCTGTCTCTTCTCCCCTATGTAACATCTAACTTTGCAATAAAAATAAATACATCTTTAAAAAGTATATGTGTGAAAGGAAGAGAGATGGAGGTATACATGCATCGTTCATCTGCTGGTTCACTCCCCCAAGGCCGGAACAGCTAGGGCCGCGAAGGCTGAAGCCAAAAGCTTGGAACAAAACGTAGGTGCCTCACATGGGTGGAAGAGAACCGAGGGGTTGAGCCCTCGCCTGCTGCCTCCCGGGGTGTGGCTCAGCAGGAAGCTGGAGTTGAAACAGAGGCAGGATTTGAACCCAGGCATACTTCTAGCCCAAGGCACTTTACAAGCTTAACCGTGATGCCAAAGACTAGCTCCTAGACAGACTTAATTTTAAGAACTTTAAAAATTTTTATTGGAAAGATATTTTAAGAGAGGAGAGACAGAGAAACATCTTCCATCTGCTGCTTCACTCCCCAAGTGACTGCAACAACCAGAGCTGAGCTGATCCGAAGCCAGGAGCCAGGAGCCAGGAGCCAGGAGCTTCTTCCGGGTCTCTCACATGGGTGCAGGGTCCCAAGGCTTTGGACCATCCTCTAGTGCTTTCCCAGGCCACAAGCAGGGAGCTGGGATTAGAGCCAGTGCCCATATGGGATCCCGGGTGTGTGCAAAGCAAGGACTTTAGCTGCTAGGCCACTGCACCAGGCCCTGTTTTATGTTTTCAGATGTGGCTTCTGGAAAGTTGTGAGTGATACAGGTATCTCCTGTGACCTGTGGATTGCACATGTTTGTGTGGGGTGCAGGTTCAAGCGCTTGGAATTTCTAGAGCAAAAAGATAAGCGCTGTTTCAGTTTTGTTGTGGGCTAGTCCTTTTTTAATATGTGATTTGTAAGATCCAGGTAACAGCCTTTTATGTAAATATCCAAATAGCTGCACACTGCGTTGGACAAGTGAAGGTGCCTTAGGACCATGCCTGATGACTTCGGATTAAAGGGAGACAGCGCCTGCATAGCGCCTTCCAGATGAGAGCTTGCACATCTGGGGACCACAGGAGCCTTTCCCTGCTCCTCTGCCGCTAACAGTTGGTGCAGCACATCATTGGTTGTAATGTAGAAAAGGGGAACCAGGGAGAAATGAAACTGACGCATAAAAAAAATTAGAATCCATGCATATGAACTCATGGGCAAAGGATTCCAAACATTATCTCCACCATTTTCCTAGAGCTTTCCAAAATGCTCTGCTCTGGGGGGCACATATTGTGGTACAAGTTGAGCCACTGTGTGGGATGTTCAGATCCTGTATCGCAGTGCCTCATTTACCTCTTGGCTGCTCTGCTTCCTGTCCATCTTGATCCTGTGCATCCTGGGAAGTACCAATAAGTCCAAATGCTTGGGCTCCTGCCACTGCTGCGAGACCTGTTCTCTCTCTCTTTCTACCCCTCCACTTGAAGTAAATGAAAAATGAATAAATACATATTGAAAAGGAACATATGAGGCTTAGGTTAAACAAAAATTGTAAAGTATCCTCACATGGATGCTGTAGTTACTTTTCAGCCACTACTTTGAAGATTCCAAAGGCCACCTTCTTGGCATAACCCTGGAATCTCTCATGCCAACTTCTTGTACGTTCCTTTCCTGAGGCGCTCTTCCTGACATGACTGACTTTTCCATGGAGAATGTCACAGGTTGCATTCCTGGGTCTTGATAAAGCTTTTGTGGCTCTAATTCTTGGCCTGCCCTTCCTGCCTTCTTGTTC